AGAAGATCGTTGCAAACATTCTAGTCTACAAATAATCTCCGTTACCGTCTCAAAGCAGCTTAATGTTCACTCTTTGTTTTAAGTTCATATGTTTTCATAGCTATATTTGGATGTAGTTATTGAGTCTTATTTCAAAACCGTCAGAGGGAAAGAACATTTCTGTCTTTAACCTGCTGAGGGATTTCCATGTATACCAAGTCATTTGTGACCAATGACATTACATTTTTAGTTCTATCAAATACATTTTGTCTCTAGAATAAAATCATATAATTCATTTAGTTCGGAACCCAAATCTCTCATTTTTATATCTACAGGTGTTTTAAGTATGGAAGCCCCTTTACGCCACTCTGTAAAAAAAAAAAAAAAAAAAAAAAAAAAAAAAAAAATTATCAAATAATAATGAGGTAGTATTTCATTATAATGAGATAGTAACTAAATATATTGTATACTGTAGTATCTCAATATAATGAGATAGTATCTCAATATAATGAGATGCTAATAATGACATGCTAACTCAATATAATGAGATGCTAACTCAATATAATGAGAATGTTTTTTTTTTTAAAGAGTGGCGGAAACGGGCTTCCATAGTTTAGAGTACTTTAAACCATTTCATTATTTTATCCTCTTGAATTAATGAGGGTATGGTGGAGATTGCTTTTGTTTTTCAAACGTTCGGTGCGGTGATGGGAGGTTTTCGAAAATTTCTTTTTTTGTACCACTTTGACCTGGTAACATCATATTAAGGTAATTATTGTTTTAATCTAATTAGTAAGAGATTTTTATTTTTGCTGAAAATCAAAAACACAATTTGTCAAACAACGCAACTGAAAGTGTGTTAAAGAAACAAACCACCTGTCGCCCCCATTTGGATTTCGGACCCCAGAAGGCAGCAACAGAATTTCTCAAATCTTTGGTGACTATGTGGCTGCCTTCTCCATTGTTACATAATTAATACTTTTCAAAGGAAGAACCTTATAGCCTCATTAGACCATCCTGATCTCGCAAGTTTTCAAGATTTCACTCGCTAATCAGTCTGGAGACTCCGTTGAAGAAAATTTGGAGCCGTTCACCAAACGAACGTCCAATCAGCGTTGACTTTGAGGCAGGTTGAGGTGTGACGCAACGAGGAGAACATGGCGGCTTCAGCCGATGAAACTAGCATTAACGGGGCAATAGAGCAAGTTTTAACGGAATTACAGAGTATTTCTTCACTGAAAGAAGAGCAAAACACTGCTCTGGAGGCTTTTCTCAGAGGAAAAGATGTTTTTGCTCTTCTCCCGACTGGTTTCGGCAAGAGTAGCCTGGCTTGTGGTTGTGTTTTCCTCGTCGCTCATTTGATTGGTTTATTTGGCCCGTCTATCACCAACATAGGCCAATCAGCTAACCAGTATTTTCGCCCCTTCCCAAAATTACTTCAACGGAAGGTTTCCAGATGGATATGTGGAGCAAATCCATGTGGCGGAGTCAGGTTAAGAACCTTAGGTATAGATTTGGTTTAAAGTTTAATCACGTTCATCGACATGAACAGCATTTTAGTTTAGTTTTTAGGGATGTATGGAATTGTTCTGGTTTTTGCCATTGAATGCAAAACTTATTTTTTTAAAAACAAGATCATGCAACTTCTGAAATATTTTCCCCCACATTTATGGTTAAACATTTAGATACAGTACATCCTTGTTGATGTTGGGTAAAATCTGATATTTGCAGGGTTTTAATGGGTTATTCTGGGATTATTGATCACGCTTCAGAATTAGGAGAGTTATTTTGAATGCTCTGGTTTCCTTTCATGGATCCCATTTTAGGGAAAGCAAGATTAAAGTCCAGGAGTCCTATTTTTATGTAGGTTTGGGATTCCGCTGTCACCCATTAAAGAAATTTGGTTATGAAGTTTTTAATTAAGGACATTTGCAGAGGTGTTTGGACCTGAATCCCTTCTAGTCAGTAAATGCACTTAGACAGCAGCTCCAAATAACACACCTACAGTTTCATAACTGAAAGGATTTTTTTTTGCCTTTTCCTAAAGGCCACCTTAATTATCTTTGCTGTTGGATAAAGACTGTTTAACATAATTGTGATTCAAATGAATGGAAGAATGACAAAAAATAAAACTTACATCGCTTTTAGTTTGATGAATTTTCCCTTCTAAAAAAAAAAAAACAGTAGAAATGATTTGAAAATACTGTCCAATAAAGAAAAAATACTTTAAAAGTTGTTTTTTTCTCTCACTTTTAGATGTCTTCATTATGATGACCACAGGCACAGTAATGATAATGACCAGAATAACTAGGGACACAGTGATGTATAACCACAGCGGACCTGAAAACAGAAAATCCAGTTGATATGATGAAGATATGTGTAGCATTTCTTCTACTGATTTAGAAAACAAAACCAACAGTTTTGGCAGAAATGTGGTTGGAGGTTTAGAATAAAAAAAGTGTTTCATAACCTGTTTCTGCTGCACCCTTCTTTCCAACAGGTTTCAACGTGCTGCTTCCTGGTTTCATGTTGTCCTTTCTCAGTGATACAGTTGTTGATAATGTTGGACATTTCAGACCTGTTCTGCTCTCTATGGAACAAAGGGGGCAAAGTAATTTAAATGTTAAAAATAATTGAATCCAGAGAATGTTAACAAGACATTTTGCAAGTTTTAGTGTTTCTCACCTTGTGTATCGGAGCTGAGGATGAAAAACTGCCCTTTATCATTTTCCCTCTTTACTTCACAGGTAAACAAGTTCAAATCTGATGGGTAAATGCAATGATTCCTCTGGAATTTTATGACAGCAATGCAGGAGCTGCATGATTCAGTTATAATTTGGTGATCTCTCTCCAAACCTTTACCCTCAAACAACCACCTCACTTTGTGTTTACACCGTTGATGTGTCAGCACAGAGCAGTTTAATATCATCCAGTCCTGGTCCTGATGCTCAGTCACTGAGTATTTAAAATAGGGAAAAAGAGTGAATATAGTTACTTCTGCTTTTGTATCTCCAGTGTGTTGTTGTTAAAAGCAAAAGATGTTGTAATTACCCACCTGTGACCACTGAAAGATGCACCAAGGAATTACGACAAGTCTTTTTTTCTGTTCTACACTGTCTGCATGCATATCGACCAACATCCTCAGCTCTGACTTTCTTTAGAAAGAGAGCACAGTTTGCAGCAACACTCAGTCTATCCAAGCGATCTTCGCTGATTTTTCCTTGTTCAATCAGTGGTGTTTCTTCTGATTTTATTGAGTCTTTGTAGAGCCAGCTGATGGTGTCACAGTTGTGATCATCAGCTACATTTCCACAGGACAAAGTCACGTCATCTCCTTGTCTGACAGTGAAGTAAAGAGTTGAATCTCCACTTAGAGCTACGCAGAATAACAGAAAATCAGAAAATCAGAAATGTTGATGTTCAGGTGATAAGTTTGGAAAATGATAGAGGGAAAGCTTTTCTCAGTGAGCAGACTGACAAATAGCAATATAAGCTCACTGTTTAATTCACAAAAGCAAAATACCTTGATGATAAAAAATAAGTTGAATTGATCCTTACCTGCAAATTGCAGCAGCAACGTGAAAAACACAAATATTATCCTGTGTCTTGATTCGTTCTCTGCTCTTCTTGGTTTCATCGTCGTCTTTGTCTGCTCAACCTTCTGAACTGGAGCTTGTATCTACAATGCTTTTGCTTCCTGTTATTTCTTCAAGTTTTAACTTCTTCTTTTTGGGTTTACATTTTTATTCACAGCAGGTGTTTTTATGCAGAACCACCTAGTCATCGTTTCCTCTTTTTTTCCTGTTTAAACATCGCCAGAACAGCCCTAAATGAACATAAAAGCTGATTTTTGTATGCCTTTATGGTTTTTCAGTGGCAAAACTACTTAACGTTTGATACTTTACACAGTTTTTAATTTTTGCATTTTTTTTACAAAAGATTTGTTTTGTAAGAAAAGGGTAAATAAAACAGGACACCAACAGTTTGTGTAATAATGTGGGAGGAAAGTGGGTAGAACCGTTGCCTTGCAGCAAGAAAGTTCTGGGTTGGATTCCCGGCCTGGGGTCTTTCTGCACGGAGTCTGCATGTTCTCCCAGTGCATGCATGGGTTCTTCAACTTCCTCCCACAGTCAAAAACATGGCTGATAGGTTAATTGGCACCACAAAATGCCCTTAGGTGTGAGTGTGTGCATGGTTTTATGTCTCTATGTTGCCCTGCAACACCCTGCTGAACTGTCTAGGGTGTACCCTGCCTTTTGCCCATAGACTGAAGAGATAGGCATCGCCCCACAATGACCCTAACGGAATAAGTGTACGAAGATGGATGGAAATCACAGTGCTAGTGCCCTCTATTGATCTATAATAGCAAATACAAGCAAAACAAATGGAAAACTCAAAATCAGGTGAATTTTGTAATAAAGTGAACTTAAAAAGGAATACAGATAAAAGGATATCTTGTGTAAAGCATATTAAGGTAAAAACTTTTTTTTTTACAGCTAATAAACATTACAGTGGAAAAAGTTCAGTTAAATTTAACATGACTGTACTTTAATTTCATACGGTATTAAAACAAAAAAGGGCAAAAAAAATGTCTTGAAATGAACAGACAAAAATATAAAAGAAAATGTGAGAAGAAGAATAGAATGTGTGGAAAAAGACTAAATTATACTTTAACCTGCAGGACCAAATAGATACTAAAGCGTTTTCTACATGAGAACATGAGCAATATTCATATAAACAAGTGGCATCAAATCCAATAAAATGAAATCAATTTAAGGTGAAATGTATTTCTGAGAGATGCTAAAATCAGAAGGGTTTTCTAGGCCTGTAAGTCTCTATCAACATTCTGTTTTATACCCCAAACCTTTTGACATACAGGATGAAACATCTACATGTAAAGCAGACAACAATAAAAGCATCTGACAATGAATCTCACATAAAATCCAATCAGAAAAGAGAAATAGATTATGTTTTTTTACTCACCCTTGATAACAGGAATGATTTTGTTTCAAGGTAAAAGAAATTTGAGTAAATTCGCTTTGATCAGTGACTCTGACACAAGCAGGGAGCTGTAAGGTAAACCTCAGACATCCTGATGTTTACATGATTTTCTGCATCTCCATCTTCATCATTGTGTACCTATAAAAAAGAGAGCAAAGTTCAATTAGAATATAATAATGCCGTCTATAGTGACATGTGCAGATTTATTCCCACCAACTTCTGATTTAATAGCTTGTGTACTTCTATGATTATTTTCCTAATAAACTGATTCCTTTTTTTTTGTTTGTTTGTCACGCATGGCTTTCTTTGCAGAAAAAATAGAAAAAATTAGTTAATCAAATGGCTTGAAACTGCTATTTTTAGATCAACATGTTTGCTAGTATTTTAATAAGGTAATGTTATCACATTTTACCAAACCTCTTCAGTATTTTATTGGTTTTTATTGACAGCTTCAGTTCATAGAAGGAGATTATATTTTCGGGGCTCCTTATTAGGAGTCCTTGTCATGTTTTTGGAGTTTTCCTCCTGCATTCTAGAAATTAATGATTCCTTTCTCCTAAAAAGTGCCTTCTTTAAAGTGTAGCAAAAAACCAAACTTACATTGCTTTGATTCATCTGCATCTTACTCCCTGGAAAATAGGGAAATCCAATTATAACCCTTATTGAAAAAAGAACAAAAAATTATTTGAACTCATACATTTATTGTGTTTGATTTCACCTTTGGTTCCTGTCCGTATAACGATGACCAAAACAACGGCTACCACTGCAACTACACCAGCAGACACAACCAGGAGCCTCCACCAGTCTGGAAACAAATCAGAACAGTTAGAAATTGAGATAAAATCATAAGAAGCTATTTTGTTGCAGTATCCCTGTCAAGGTTTTACCTGCTGGAACTTTGTTCTCCGTTTTCTCCAGTTCAGCTACTGCTGGAGTAGATTGTGTCGTTGGTGGAGTTGGATTGTTGCCTGAAATTTAACAAAATAAAAATAAAAATTTAAAATCAGTGAGGACACAGCTGGGAGGGTTTAAAGTCCATCACCTGAGGTGTCTCACCTGGAGGATGAGGGCTGAGGCTAAAAAGCTGCAGTTTGTCAGCACCTGTTTTTATTTCACACTTAAATAAATGAGACCATGTTGTTTTAACATAATGAGTGGGGTTAAAGGTCACAGCAGCAGAGCAGGAAGTTGATGTTTCCTCTGCTATTTTGGTTTCTGGCTTCACATCGGTGCCGTTAAACAACCACTTCACTCTGTGTTTACAGCGTTCTTGTGTGAGAACAGAGCAGGTCAGCGTCATCTTTTCCCGATCCAAATGCTCAGTCACTGTAGAAGGATGAGAAGGAATATAATTGGAGCAAACAGGATCCAGTTAATCCGTGTTAACACTGTACTCACCGCTAACGACAGAGAGCTGAACCTCAGCATCTGGACCCGACTGTTCTCCTGCTATAAACTGTCTGCAGGTGTACCGACCCACATCCTCTGCTGAGATTTTCTTCAGAACCAGAGAACAATTTTCAGAAACACTCAGTCTGTCTGACCGGATGTCAGTTCTCTCTCCGAGCTCTACCAGCTCTACGGCTGCTGACAGGTCAGTATTACCGTGGATCCAGGTGGTCGTGTCACATTTATTGTGATTACTAATCACATTTTCACAAGAGAAAGTGATGTCATCCCCGACTCTGGCAATGAGGGAGGGAACGTGATTTCTGCTCAATGTTGCTGTAATAAGGAACCAGAAAAAAGCTTTAAGTAAGAATGTGAAAATGTCCGTCTACAGACCTTGTGCTTATACTTAGATTTAATGGCTTTGATCCTCAGTTGGAGCCAAATTTACTCAAAAGTCGTCCAAACCAGCAGTCAAAGATGGTGGGCTGTGCACAGTAGCAGCCCCCTGCTTCCCCCAGTATGGGTTAAATGCAAAGAAACATTTTTGTTATAATGCTCAAAGTTGCATGAAACAAAAAAACAAACTTACCTTTAACCTGCAGTGACAACATGAGAAGTGCAATAATTAGAATCCGTTTTGGTTCATTAGTTGCTCCTCTATGACTCATTGTCTGGTTGCTTTGCGTCAGTGTCTCCATGCTCAGGTCTGTTTCCATCAATGAGCTCAGTTCATCTCAGGCTCCTTCATTCCTCTTTTTGCAGAGAATTACTCTTGATTAGAAGGTTTTCTTTATTTTTATTTTTTTATTCCTTTTTTCTTTGCTTCTTGTTTATCGATCTCTTCTGATTCAGGTGTGTTTGGGTGGAGTTAATTTTGTCACGTTGATCCTTATTCCTGATGAGTCATCAGCTTCAACAGTTCTGCAGATCAGCATATTTGATCCACTACCAAAACCAACAGGTTTTTTGAGCCATGTTAGACAAAGAGCAGTTTATTTATGTATACTTTCCTTTTTTTCCTTCCATCTCTGTTAAGGTTCTAATTTTTTCTGCAAAATGACAGTTTTTAATTAACGGTCAGCTGCAGCTGCAATCTATAGGAGTTTAAAAAGCAAGAGAATTAGCATTTTAGATTTCAGTTAAAATATGCTTACATATGTTAATTATAATTTTTTTTACAGCAAAATTACAGAAAAGAGTTTTAGAAAAAAAAAGAAAAATCAATGCATGTTTAAAGTTATAGAAAAGTTATATTTGAATGTCAAATCATTCTGGCTTAAAAATTGATATAAATGCACTCTTTATCAGACTATATTGTAGTTAATTTAGAACATTTCTATTTAAAAAATAAATCCTGTCTTAAAATCTGTCTGCAGGCCAGTTATACATCAGCTTGTACACCTAAATTCGGCCGATCATATATCAATGGTCATTTGTCAATCAAATCTTTCGGTCATAGCATCTTGATTCATGTCGCAGCAACGCTTGAAATAAGAAATAATTTACTTTACCTTTGAGTTGTGTCTTCGGCAGGCGTAGAGCTAACAGAACTGGCAGCGTTGCGAGGCAAGGGCTCAAACATGTACGGCTGGAAGCCTTCTACACCAAACCAAGCTTCTGCCGCCATGGCGTCCTCTTCCACAACATCTTCGTCCCAGCTTTCCTCCTTTAAATAAAAAATGTATGATGGAGGAGACTCATCCATGACCTCCGACAGAAAACTCTCCTCCTCTCGCATGTTTCCACTGTCCATAGCGTTCCTTGACAATGTCGTTTCCAAGTCACCAATTTAGTGCTACTTGGTCCCAATGTAATTTCCCATTGGCAACCTACTAGCACTAAGTTGCTAACTGGTTGGCAAAATGCTTCCAACATAGTTTTTTTTACTGAAATATTTTTCAGTGTGGATAGATTACAACAATTTCCACATTCATTTTTTGCTATTATTTTAGTGCCAACAACTTTAACTCATTTCAGCACCCAAGGTTCCCATGGTTTTGTTTTAAAGGCATGAAGACAAAAAAAAAAATCAAAAAAGTTTCGGTACCTGATTTTTTTTTCTTCTGAGAACCTGAATACTATTACACCTTTTTAAACTGATATCAGGACAAACAGTGAGCATTGTTTTGTTGTCATCTATTACACTGGATTTCTAGGCCGTTTAGAGGCTATAAGAGAAGTCAGGTAAGAGAGAAATAAAATATTTGTAGCTGTAATAATATAAATTTATCCATCTTGAGATCATGAGTGCATTCAAAATTCATCAAATTGTAGTTCTTAGCTCCAGGTCCCTGTTTCTTTTTCACCACCTTGTCAGTTGGCACAAAATTGTAGGTAGGAAATTCCAGACTGCTCTGTGGAATCTAGACAGTCTAGCCTTCCAGCATCATGCACATGGGTGATGCTTGTCAGATTGCAGTATTCTTGCTAAAAAGAACTGCAAAAACATAGTTTAGCTGGACAAATGTTATTTTAAATGGAATGCTTTCATTTAAAACATCAAATACATAAACATGTAAACATTTGCATATGTACACATGAAAAAATATTGCATTTGTGTTAGTTTCTCTGAGACAATCTGTGCCAATATGTCATGCCATAACAACCTTAGAGCCAGTGAGGGACTTTGCAAGCTTCTGAAGCTACAGGACCTATGATAGGAAGCAAAGGTTAATTTTCCTATACCTCCTTCCTTACTGCCAGCACTACTCATACATAGACCAGATCTAAACTAAACAATTAGAAATAGACTTTTGACTTTGAACAACCCTTTATTTACAGAAAAAGTCCCCAAAACATGTTCAAGTTAGAATTTCTTTCAACAAAAGTTTCTGATCAAGCCTTTTGAAGATTGCTATGTTTCTATGATGAAATATATTTATATTTTAAAGGAATCTGTTTATCAAAAGAGAGAAGTTATAATAAACAGCTCATCAGATTCTCACCTGCTTCATCTTCCAAGGTGAAATCCTAAAGTTAAACTCCTTTATGTTTCCTCTTTCAGGTTTAACACCTGAACGCCTCATAACTCGTAGATGAATAAACATAATGAGATGTTGGAGAGCTCACACTGGCTGAACAGACAGACTGACAATGATTTAGGGCTTTGATATAAGAACACGCCAACGGCAGCATTCTGTGACACGCATGGCCTCAGTAAATTGTCCCATCCCCCACCCCGTCAGCCCCCCTCCACCCCAATGAATGTGATGAACGGTTTTTACTGAAACTGAAATCTTGAATATAATGTAAATTGTTGTTGTTGACAATAAAGAAACTGATTGAAATTGTCAGGGTTTGGTTGAGGTTTTAAGCACCCAAATGCAGAGGCGAGGAGGCAGAGGAGATGGAAAGACAAGGAACCAGCCCTGAGGAACTGCACAGGGAGAGTATATATGGGAGACAAAATAATTAGGAATTAAACCAATAAAACTAGAAAATATTGATGAAAGTACAACTGAATACTCAAAAGAAAAGCTAACAGAACCGAGACTATGAGAGGACCCCCCACTTAAGACTCCAGCTGCCCTAAAAAGTCCAAAAAAACAAAACAAACAACCCAACCCACCCATGGTGGGCAGAGGGGGAACCAGGAAGGAGGGCAAGAAACAAAACAACCCACCAAAGGGCAGGCAAAAGTCTTTGAAAGGCTTGCTTTGAGGCCAGAGATGGCGAAAGAGAGCCTTTGGAGGACAGCCGTGAGGCAGGAGGAGGACCTCTGAGGATGACGACAAAGAAGGCGGGCCTCTGGAGGACGACGATGAAGAAGGCGGGCCTCTGGAGGACGACGACGAAGAAGGCGGGCCTCTGGAGGACGACGACGAAGAAGGCGGGCCTCTGGAGGACGACGACAAAGAAGGCGGGCCTCTGGTGGACGACGACAAAGAAGGCGGGCCTCTGGTGGACGACGACAAAGAAGGCGGGCCTCTGGTGGACGACGACAAAGAAGGCGGGCCTCTGGAGGACGACGACAAAGAAGGCGGGCCTCTGGAGGACGGCTTCCCTGCAGCACGAAGGAACCCCGGAGGACCGCGACCCTGCAGCAGGAAGGAACCCCGGAGGAACGCGACCCTGCAGCAGGAAGGAACCCCGGAGGACCGGGACCCTTCAGCAGGCAGGAACCTCGGAGGATTGCGACCCTGCAGCAGGCAGGAATCTCGGAGGACGGCGAGCGTGGATCCGGGTCCCTGGAGGGGGCCGCCAACTGTGGACCCACGAAGCTGTGGCGCAGCTTGGGACCCACTAAGGCGCGGCGCAGCTTGGTACCAACGAAGGGGCATGGAGCTCCTGCTGAGGGGCTTTGGAGCTTTCTCCGCCTTGGAGCTCAAGCAATGCTTTGTTCCATAACTTGATCCATCCTAAGGCTCAGGGGTCTCTGGACGGCACAGAGCGTGTTCACAAAGAGGTTCTGTCTGAGGAGGAGCGCTAAGAGAATCTGCCTGAGGAGTGGGAATGCTAACAGGTTCAGATGCTCGAGCTAGGACAATGGAGGGAGCTAACTGAGTGGCTAGGACACTTGGGGAAGCTAACTGAGGAGAAAAGAGGATTAGTTCAATAATGGGTTATGGCTCAGGGAATGGTCTGCTAATGAGCTCTGGCCCGCTAAAAGGCTGTGAAGCCAGCTGTTTGTCAAGGAGTTGACAGCTGAAACCATAGGGGAAACTGGCCTGGTTAGGAGGGGAACAAAGCTGGGGCTTCAGATTGACCCACTGGTAAGGAAGTAGCGGCGACAGCCTGACCTAACGCAGAGGAAGTAGAGGCGTCAGGCTGACCCACTGATGGAGAGGTTGTGGAATTTCTCTGCCAGTGGTAGTGTCTGTGTTTTGAAGCAGATGGCATCAGAGAAACACATGCAGGAGGAGCAGGAACAGCTGTGACCGGGGTGGTGAAGGTTGATTGGGTAGTTGAGCAAAAGCATCTGTCAAAGACAGACTATGTATCTAGGTCTCTGGTTCTTTTACCTGAAAAGAGATCACTTGGGACAAACTCTTGAAATAACACCTAATAACTTATATGTTATAAATAACCAGGAGACATGACAACAGATTCTGATAGAAAACTTAATCTTACCGAGATCAGTGAAATTTCTTAGAATGTACAGAAGGCAGCTGCTCACCTCAAGGCTCACCTCTCAGGAGGCCCAGATTGACAGTTTAAAAGGCATTTTATCCATCTAAAGTCTGCCACATCATATTTTACATCAAACACATTAGCAGATGATTAGACATCCATGGCTCCAGCCTTATAAGGTATATAATTCTTAGCTCTCAATTCTATTTCCAAATATTTGCCACGTACAGAATGAGATTATAACTATTTCAAGACAGAGGAACTGTCTTAATTAGATTAAAACAGTTCTGAACGCAACAGGCAGCCAATACCAAGTTTTAATAAACTCACATCTTCAATGATTATCATCCTAACACATCCTGTATTCCATTCAGCTTCAGCATTGTAACCAGTCTCAAGAAAAAAAAGTCAAGGAGTTCAGGAAACATCTCCAGTCTCTTCTTTACCTGATCTGCTGCACTCATACGCTTCCAAGGTAGACTGATGAAGGGTAGGCTGTCTAGTGTGGATCTAATGAGTGAAAGTAATTTTCCTGCCTCATTGGTTGGCTCTGCAGGGTCCATGATGGTTGGTTCGTACTATCAGGGTTTGGTTGAGCTTTTGAGGACCAAAATGCAGAGGCAAGGAGGCTGCGATGAGTTCTTGAAGATTTAATGGAAGTACTCACATGCTACCGAGGCACGATTTCGTACATAAAAAGTACAAAAAACCAGAACCATGCAGACATCAGGGAAAACATGCATGAGGAGCCAGGGAAAGACAAGGAACCAGCACTGAGGAACTGCACAGGGAGAGTATGTATGAGAGACTGAATTAAAACTGGACTAATGAGCTGATTGGGAGTAGGTGTGAACAGAGGATTCTATAAGGGAGCTAGGGAAGAGACCAACAGAGGACAATCAAGAAATATCTAAGAACTCATATCCAGAAAACCGGCAAAATGGGAACAATAAAACATAAAAGTAAAACTGAATACTTAAAAGAAAACTTAACAGAACCAAAACTGTGACAGAAATCGTGTGCTCTGCAAGTGACGTACAGAGTCACAAAATATCTTACAAAAAGTTTCCGGAAAATAATAGCTTTAGTGATGAACAAGATCAATGATTTTCTTGCACATTCTTGGAAGTTAGATTTGATTTATTATGATAAACATGGCAGGAGACAAAGAAATGCGTGAACTGAATTTTGTCAAAAGATTAAAACATTCTGAGATCAAAAGACTAACAATAAAACAATAAAATTATTTTAAAAGCCAACCAAAAAGCATTCTTGGAGCACAAGTAATAAATGACTTCATGTTTTTAGTTTTGCTCTTGGTTGCTGAAAAACTGATGCCTCATCTCAGATCCAGTACAGGGGACCTGAGTGATGAAGTTATGCAGAGGAAGAGCTGTCCTTTGGGATACTAGGTGCACAATGTGGAGTCATCCTCTTTCTCACCAAGTTTTTGGAGGGAGGAGCAACTTTTTTTGCACACTTTCCAATTCATCTACAAGGCCTTTGGTCAGTGCATTGGACTGGTAAGCTCAGAAACAGGTGTAATGAAGGTCAGGTAGATATTTATGAGGATTTCAGGTAGGAGTCAAGCTCTTTTAACCACATTCAGACAGTGTAATCTCACATGTGCATCCCAGGTAAGAAAAGAGGATATCTGGTCTTAAGGAGATTAAAATGGACACTCAAATGATCATCTCAAAGTTTACTACTGGTGGAAGAAGGCGGAAGATGTTAAGCTCTCTATCATTAATGGCCATATCCTTGGTTTTAGCATCACTGACTGCTAGAGAGAACACCTGTCCTCACTCATCCACAGAGTCCAGGACCCTCTGCCACACACCTGACAAGGACCCCATCAAGAGTTCAGTCGGTATGAGGGCAAATGCATATTATTTACATTCAAAACAAAAGAGGCAGGACATGAATCCAGACTTTAATTGAAGTCACAAATATTAATGGTAATAATGTTACCAAACTAACTTCAAAAGCCTCTCTTCTGTATTTAAGCCAAAAAAAAGCAACAAATATCAATAGAACTCTTATATATAGGATTAAAGAGAATAATATAAATCAACTAAATTGAATACAGTAAAACAAATCTAAATTATTTCTGGTTTTATTGTATCATAAAATTTAAAACGAAACCTGTAACCAGTACACAAAAGTCTTAAGGTTTTGGTTTGTTGATGGTAGCATAGATTTTACTGGGATCAGAGGCAGCAGGAGAGAAAGAAGCCTTTGCAGAGCTGTAGGTCACTGTGTCATCTTCGTCACCATCTTTACCCTGGTTCTATTAGTAGAAAAAGCAGGATGTGGGAAAAAATAATCATAAAAATCTAATTTAAAAAGGTGCTACTTTTCTGCAGAGCAAAGTGATTAACACTGAGAAACGAGGGTAAGAAGGGTAGAAAATTATTTAGAGATCTCAGTCTGAGCAGGAAACATTAATATTCTTAATAATTTGAATTACAACACTTGTAAAAACATTTTTACTCAGCTTAATTTTAAGATAAAAACAGCTAAACTAATCAGACATCTTACCTTGGTGTTGCTGTTGGTCCTCTTGGTGTAGCGGATGGAGGCGTAGGTAACATCACCTTCAGGATCAGCCTTTGTAGTGAGGACGGCGCAGTAAGTGTTAGGTAACAGAAACATGCTTATCCCACAGGAAACAAATGATGCCGAGTCTGTGAGCTCACCAAGTTCTGACTGGATCTTCCTACAGGCTGAGCTCTTGCATGGATCAGGTTCTGTTGCTGAGAGTAATTATATGTAACACAATGATACTTTAGATTTAGACAAGTTCCTGTAAACTGCAGGGATAAATCTGAACACATTACTTTTAAGTTCATGAAAGATTTCAGTAATTGTATCTGAGGGCTGTTTAAACGTTTGCCCCAAATATAGGAGAAAGAACAAAAAAAAAAAAAAAAAAAAGGTACAGTCTAGTTTATGATTTAGGGCCCAGGGCTGTGTGCAGCTATAGAATGTAGATTAACTTATGAAATATAGCAGAAAGAGTTACCGTCAATTTTTTCCCTTATATGTAATAGAATGAAACATATTATTATAATTTGTTCAGTACCTACCCCAAAATTATTACAAATCCTTCTATCTTCTCTATAATATTTATATCAGGATCAGTTTTTTTATAAAGAACAAAATGCACATACTGGTGACATCGATGTGTTTCTGTAAGGCTAAAATAACACTGATAAGAAATAGTAAGATTTTCTTAGAGCTTGATTTAGATCTCGTTTAACTCACAGCAATTTGATTTATCTTTCTTTTGTTTTCTGTAAAAGAAAAAAAGACTTGCAGTCAGTTTACTTAGAATAAAGATTTAGTTACATTAAAACTTTCACATTTAGAATGCTCTCACCTTTAGTTTTTCTCCATCCAATTGCTGCAGCAACAACCGCTATGAAGAGAACAGAAACGACGACTGCAGCAATGATTGTCCATGAGCCTGTAGAGCATAGAACTATTAAAAGATTTTGACATTTTGATGAAAGCACTTTAAATACCAGAGGAGTCTGATGGTAGGTAAGTGTATAACGTAGGAATAAGCTTAAAAACTACTTGTCCCCAGTCAGACAGTAGAGAAATGATTTAAAAACTGAGGAGCATAAACACAAATCAGCTATTTCTTTGGGTAAACGATACAGTTATACTCAGTTAAAGGTTACTGCTGACATCTAGTGGTGATTAAATGTAACAGAAAAAGGCTTGTAAATTGTCAAGTAGCAGTGAAGGTTTGACAGGACCCAAATGCAGACACAAAAGCTAGAGTGGTTTCTTGAAGATTTAATTGACCAAAAGTTCAACCGAAGCAAAAATACAAAACATAAATCCACAAAAACTGAGAACCAGGAATACTCACAAGAAGGGGGCAAAAAATGACAAACTAGCAAAGAGTGACTGAACAGGAGGCGAATATATGGGAGAGAAACAAAGACCAGGCTAATTAGCAGATTGGGAGCAGGTGTGAACAGAGGCAGGAAGGGAGCTGGGGAAAAGGAGACTGACACAACAAATATGTAGGAACTCAAACAGAATCAGAAATAACTAGAACACAATAATGGAAATAATCCCAATGAAAACTCAGAGATAAAACTTGAACAGAACAAAGCCATGACAAAAATAGATCTTAAAACAAGACAAAATCACCAGAATTTACAAACACTTAAAAGGCTGAAATACCAACTAATTAGACTAGAAAAGCAAAAAACATTGTGAAGTTATATGATAAACTTGGGCCCTCCCTGAGAAAACCTCACATCAGTGGGAAGCTCCAGTTCAGAATATTTCCTGGGATGTGGACTTGTAGAAGCAGATTAAAGGGCTGGTTTTACTCCCTGCAGCAGTGTGTCGCAGATATTTTTGAGTTATGTCCAATATCGAAGTGTGGTCGGCGCTATATTATTCCACGCCACAATGCAACAGGGACAATCAGGAACTAGCTGTGGGTCTAGATAAGGCAGAGGTGGTGAGGAAGTGGGGGCAAGTTTGTGCGACAAAGGAGGGTGAAAAAGAACGGGGATCCAGGTGGAAAAAGAGTCCCAGCGTTCTCTGCACCTCGCTCTTCACGTTGGTCCAAGTTCACAAGTCGATCTCCACAGTGGTGGTCATACAAACAAAACAACTCGGTAAGGTACCGAACAGGAAATACGCATGAGTAGAGCGGATGGAGATTTGACCAATGAGGGGCCTCCTGTCTGGGCCACTGTCTGCAGTCACCAAACATTTTGGAGAAGTGCAGCAGAGTGTCTGCAGAAGGGGCGGAGGCAGATTTGCATTCACTGCAACAAACATGCAGAAGACCTGGTTGACGAGTATAAATCAGCCTTTAGACCCCAGGTGGTCAAAACTCATCCCTCCATTGTCCATTCTTGATTTTCCCTGCAGGGTAGATGCGTTCATTTCCACTGGTTGATGGGGTGAGAGAAGGGTTCCCCTAAACAGGTGGTTATAAAGCTATTCTACAGAGACTAATTAATGCAAATGTCATGTTTTCGGGCTGAGGGAGGAATTCAGGGTACCCAGAGAGAACCAATGTCTGCACTGGGAGTACATTGAAACTGCATACACAAAGACACCAGGCTGGGATCCAAATCCAGGATCTTTTGCTATAAGGCAGCGGGGTTACCAGCTGGAATAGATCGGGCAGGCGTAACCTCTACATCTAATATTTCTATATTTAAGTTGTTGCCTTTTAAAAACAAACTTTTTGGTTTCTCAAATAAAAGACCTAATGGTAAAATAAATAGGACCACATACTTTTTTTTTTATTGCCACGTTGACTTCATGGCAATTTGAATTTGGCCCATTTCTTTTGTTCTTTAATTTCTGTACAATAAAGGCATTAATATATTGATCAATTAATAGACAAAATAATACCAGGTTTCTGTTGCATGTTTGTATAGCATTACAGGGGTATTGGCACTTATTATTCTCCACTTAAAGCACGGGTCAAACTTAAATGTGCTGCAAGAAGATGGCAAAAAGAGTATTTGAAAAAAAGTAAAAGATATACCGCTTGCAGTGCAGTGAGTCTTAGTTTTATACATTTTAAAGATGCTACATCAGCAGTAAAACCATTGCGAAGAAATTGCAGTGTGGGGTTACTTCCCAGTACTGCAGTGTATAATCGGAAATAAGTAATAATCTGAAAATATTTTATATAACTTAAATATAAGACTATAATTCTATATAAACACACGCAAATAAAATAAATTGTTTGTTACCATAGCCCCTGGGCCAAGGACAGCTGACCTGTTTGTTCCCCACCCCCCACAACCTCCTCAAACTACGGTGTAGCGTACTGTACGTCTGTTCTAGGTTTCAAAAATTTTATAAAAGCAAACTCTTATCATTAAGTATATTTCAGAGGCAGGCGTATATCCAAATAAAGAAGGAAGATAATATAAACAGCTCATCTTATTCTCACCTGCTTCATCTTTCAGAGGGAAAATCCTGAAGTTAAACTCCTCCATGTTTCCTCTCTCAGCTTTAACTCGACACCTGAACGCCTCATACCTCTTAGATGAATAAACATGATGAGATGTTGGGAAGCTCACATTGGCTGAACAGACAGACTGAGACTGATTTAGGGCTTTGATATTTTCAGCATCTTTGTTATCATAGAACCACTTCACTGTGTGTGAGCATTCATCAAATGTAGACACAGAGCAGCTCAGGATGGTTTCATTTCTGTTCTTCTGTTCAGAAACTGATGAAGATGGAGACATTATGACAGTAACAAGAACATTAAAACTGATTTCATCACTTCAGTTATTATATTACATTAGTTTGTTTTTCTGAAAGTGAACATAATGATATAAATACTCACTGGTAACAACAGACAGATAGACAGAAGAGTCTGGTCCTTCTTTTTGTCCTGCTGAGTTAAACTGTCTGCAGGTATAATGACCAGCATCCTCCACTGAGACCTTCTTTATAACCAGAGAACAGTCTGCTGTAACACTCAGTCTGTTTGATTTAGTTCTGGCAGCTTCATGAATCTTCCCATGTTCAAACAGTGTTTCTGTTGTATTTTTTTGACGATTGAATATCCAAGTAGTATTAATACAGGAATCCATCAAGTTTCTGAAACATTTAGCAGGCAGAGTGACTTCTTCTCCGTCTCTGACAACAAAGTAAGAGCTTTGTTCAGCTGCTGCTGCTGAGGAGACGACAGAAAAGAAATCAGGAATCTTTGTGTGCTGGTTGTCACAATTTTCTTACAGAAAGTGTACTGTACGTTCTCAAGAGTTCAAAAACGTTATCTTAAACTACTGATAAGAGAAAGTCTTTGATAACATTACCTGAACAATGATTATCTGCAATAAACATATAACTATAATCTTACCTGTAAAGGTTAGCTTCAGTAAGAAAAACATTGTAATCCAGCTGAATTCAGCCATCGATCGTCTCTTCTTCTCGGTCTTCCAGCGACTGACTCTGGTAGAGAGATGGAGCATCTACTTCCTCTGACTCACATGATGTCACTTCCTTAAGCTGACTTGAGGGTTAGGAATTTTTTTATTTTTATTTTTTTTACTAAATACAGATTATGCTTTATGTCCTCAGAGGTCACAGCAGAACTGATTATAAAGAACAGTTAAAAGGTTGAAGAATTACAAAAATGAACATTCAAAATTAAACAGCAAAATAAGTGACCACTTTAGAATAAAGGCAAAAGACTGAGATCATTCAGGTTTTTAATAGTAAAGAGGTGTGGATGACAAATGCGTGACAGTTAGTTTCATGTATAAATGTATAAAAGTCAAGTTCCTCTTTTCACCTCCTTCACATATTTAATGTGTTAAATGACCTCAGACTCATTAGTTCTTCACAGTACCTCTATATGGGTTTACTTCTGAGAACTAAAGCGGAAATGTTCGGTGGTTAACGTACTGAGTAGCTGAATGTTTATATGCATAAAAGCTGAATAGAGTTTAACCTTACACAAAAAGTCCTAAACTTTTTCAAATTTCTTTTTTGTTCCCTTCTGCTTCATCACTCCTGTATTAAATATTTCATTTCCAGCACTCTGAAAAACTTTACTGTGTTAATAGGTGTTCAGAGAGATTTAATAGAGCCATCATGTGGAAAATTCTCTTAGTGGAAATATTTGGGGCAGGAAGTTAGCATGACCTGTTACTAAAAGTAAAACATGCAGCTGCTGCAGAGAGACTACTGTGTTAATCATAGAATATTTGAGACTGTGGATTTAAAAGAGTTTGCATTTATTTCATTGATAGATT